TGTGAGAATATTATTGTGAGAATTTTAGATTTTATATACATATATATGTATATATATATATATGCAGCTCTGGTAGCGTAGTGTCTAAGGCACTTGACTGCTAATCAGAAGGCTGGCGGTTCAAACCCACCAGCCACTCCTTTGAAGGAAGATGGGGCAATCTATTTCTGTAGTGATACTGCCTTGGAAACCCAAGGAGGGGTCGCTATGAGTCAGGTCTGACTCGATGGCACATTAACAGCAACAACAACATATATATATGAATTTTTAATCACACATATATATATTATCTAGAAGTATATATTCTGTTTATAGATGTATAGAAGTAGTATATTTATATAAACTTCTGTGTAACTTTATATATACTTCTGTATATCTTTACATATACTTCTGTATGCATGATATATATATATATATATATATATATATATATATTTACTAATTTCTTTTAATAAAATTCTTTCTGGAATTTCTAGCACATAATGAGTACATAAGAATTGATGGCTCTTAATGTCTCACCCCAAAATTCTATAAATCCATTTAATAATATGATTATAGTCTATATTTAATAACATCTAGATTTTCATAGATATTGTCTTTTGGACATGAATGACTCTAACATTTTACATACACACTCACATACATAATATCATTTCTAAATGACTGCACATACTAAAGATTTTCAAAGTGGAAAGATTAGTTAATAAACAAAAGGATCCTATTTAATTTTTTCCAATTGTTTTAATGGCTTTTTTGGTTATTCTAATAAAAAAATTCTTGATAGCTATTTTATCAACATTTATGCTTAACTACAACTTTCCTGTTGTTAATTACAGAGATTATTTCTGGCTAGTACTTTCAAAGTTCCCATGTTATTTTTGCACAGGCTATGTTGTGCCTCAGTTAATTAGTAAATGAGGTATCCAACTTCAGTACTCAAAAAAAGCTAATACATAAAAACTCAGCCCCTTCACTCTTATCAAGATTAGTTTTATAGTCTATCTTCTCTTTTGCACATGCATTTCTATTTGTCTCTTGTCAAGATTTTTTTTTTCCCCTTAAGGGTTTATTTATTTTTGGTTTCCTTTATTTCTATAATGATTTTGGGAGATCAGAACACACCCTTATGGCTGACCATAAAATTCCTATTAAATTGACAAGATGTAGGTGGTCTGGAATTACCCAAAATTATTCCATGATAGAGATTGGGATTGAGATTTGATTTCTAGGGCCTAGTTACATACCTTCAGCATGTGTGTCTACCTTAGTATTTGTAGAACCAAGTGATACAGAAATTCTGTTTATTTAAATTTTTTTTTTATTTCTCACTGTATGTGAAATGCCACCCAAATTCATGTCATAGACTATGTTTTACTTTTTTGTATTCAAAGCTATCTTTCTTAAAATGGATAATAAGTAAACAGCTCTATGTAATATTGCCTTCTGGTATTCAATGTCTGTTTATTTTTACATTATTTCTCAGCTACGAAATAGGAAGAATATGTTGATGAGTATTAGAAAAATGAATCAAATGGAAGGTTTTATCATAGTGCTGGGTGGACTTTATCAGTGCTCAGTAAATTAGTGTAATTATAAAAGAGAAATATAATCAGTCTGAAGATGACCTTCAGAATTCCTTACTTCCTTCTTCCCTCTTTCCCTTTCTCCCTCTTTCCCTCCCTCCTTCCCCCCTTTCCTTCATTCCTTCCATTTCATTTCATAAGTTATACTTTAGTACAGTCATGGTTTCAAGATGATAGATAGAATGTGGGATGAATTTTTAAAAAATTTTCATGTTCTGTTGCTCAAAAAAGTCCAGTTAGTCACTTATGATTCAGTAACACTGTAGATTAGTTTCCTTTGTATGGAAACAAGGAAAGAGCTCTGGTGGCGCAGTGGTTAAAAGCTCAGCTATTAATTGAAAGGTTGGTGGTTGTTACCTACTAGCTTCTACATGGGAGAAAGATGAGACAGTCTGCTTCCATAAAGATTTACAGCCTAGGAAACCCTATGAGCAATCCTACTCTGTCCTAAAGGGTTGCTATGAGTTGGAATCAACAGTATGGAAGTGCATTTTTTTTCTTCTTTTCTTTCTTTCTTTTTTTTTTATCCTTGTACTAAACAAATATACGAGCTAGATGAATAGTTAGAAATTGTGTGGAGTAATTTCAGAGACATGCTGAATACCTCATCCTTATCCTTATTGAACACTTAGCTGGTACTTGTAGTTTCTACCAAAGAATTTCATCTTATGCATAAAGTTTTGATCACCATAGAGATGGCATGCTTCACAGCCACCCCAGTCAACACTAGCACTCACCATAAAGGTAGCATTTGAAGATGTGACCTCTCAAAATTTCACCAACAAGAACTCACTCAATATGCTTTTCCTTAGCCACCATTGTTTTAAAAGTTCTGTTTAAAACTGAATTTATTGATTTATAAACCTTTTCACTATATACATGTATTTAATAAAAAAAAAATTTGGTCAGCAATATATATATATTTTTTAATGGTGTATAAGGAAGCAGAAACCATTAGGAAAAATTGTGGATTTGAATTTATTAAAACATTTTAAATAATTTTGTGGAAAATTTGACAAAAATAAATTAAAAGGCAAATAAAATAAAATTGGAATATCTGTAAAAAAGAATACCTTAATAAGTAAAATATCCTTATAAAAAAATAAATAGATGGAGAATCCAGTAGAAAAATGGTCAAATGACATGGATAAGCAAGTGAGAGAGAAAAACAAACAGATGTTCAATTCATTAAAAAATAAATGGTCCACCTCATATTAATAATCACTATATGCATTAAAATATACATTTTCATATAGCCAAAAAGAATACCTAAAGATTAAAATTGTGTCAGTCTTGCCAAGAAAAGGAGAGGTGTAAAATGGGTATTCTCACACATAAGTTTAGTGAGCTGAGTTTCAGTATAATTAATAGAAAGTTCGTAAAGTGTATGCTTATAATGATTTCTCTTAAATAAATAACTATATATATATATTCATAACATTTTAGCGAAAAGTATGGCTATTATATAATAGGGAAAATTAAAAACACCCATAAAATAAAAGATCAAAAAACTATTTTTAAAATCTGAAACTATTTATGATATTTGATATTATGACAATTGCTGAATGGTAGGTTATAAAACAATATGTAGTATACAATGTAGTATATTTATATATGTTGTTGTTGTTGTTATTTGCCATCAAGTTATAGCAGCCTCTCCTTGGGTTTCCGAGGAGGTATCACTATGGAAGTAGGTTGCCCAACCTTCTGAGGAGTGGCTGGTGGGTTTGAACTGCCAGCTTTCTGGTAGCAGTCAAGTGCCTTAGACACTATGCTACCAGAGCTCCTACTATGTATATATATACATATATATATGTGTGTGTGTGTGTGTATTGCATATTTTCTGACATATATATCTATATCTATCTATCTATATATATATATATATATATATATATATAACCTCTAATGACATAGTGGTTAACGCATTTGGCTGCTAACCAAAAGGTGAATGGTTCAAACCACCAGCCGCTTTGCAGGACAAATATGAAGCAGTTTGTTTCTGTCAAGTATTATATCTTTGGAAACCCTATGGGGTAGTTCTACTCTGTCCTATACTATAGACTCAATAGCAATAGAGTTTTGTTGTTATTGTTGTTTATTTAGGACATACATAATATGGTTATTTGGGAGCTCTGGTGGAGAAGTTCTTAAGGCACTTGACTGCTAACCAGAAGGCTGGTGGTTCAAACCCACCAGCCACTCCTGAGAAGGAAGATTGGGCAATCTACTTCCCTAGTGATACAGCCTCAGAAACTCAAGGAGGGGTCTTTATGAGTCAGAAGCAGTGAGTGTGTTTTTTTGGTGTGTATATATATATATATATATATATATATATATATATTTTCAGAGGAAAGACTGGGCAATCTACTTCTGTAGAGATACTGCCTTGGAAACCCAAGGAGGGGTCACTATGAGTTGGAATTGACTTGATGGCAGTGAGGTTTTTTTTTTTAATATATTATTATGTATATAGTTATTAACCCTGTGAATTCTAATTACACATAATGTTTAATTTCATAATATTTTATTTGATTTTTGCTTTGTTTTAGTTTTAGTTTTTTAACAAAACTTTGTATTGTGATTTGGGTAAAAGTTTAAAGAGCTATTGTATTTTCCATTTAACAGTTCATCCACATTTTATTTTGAGACTTTTATTGCAATCTCCACAATGCAAAAGCACTCTTTCCTCCTCTTCCTTGTGGTTTCCATTTCCTATTCTTATTTCATTTTTTTTTTTTTATGCTGGAAAAAAAGTCTTATCAATTCAAAAGAGTTTTACTATTTATTATTTTCTGATGAAAAAGATGTTTCTGTGGGCCTTTGAGTAATGCACTGAAATCCCATGGTATATAGTCACTGCAAAAGATCTGATTGCAGACAATATGCATGTGCACACTTGTTGTTGTTGTTGTTATGTGACGTCGAGTCGGACTCGACTCATAGCAACCTCTTCTTGGGTTTCTGAGGCAGTATCACTACGGAAGTAGATTGACCAACCTTCCTTCTGAGGAGTGCTTGGTGGGTTTGAACCTCCAGCCTTCTGGTTAGCAGTCAACATGCTTTTGAGGATCTGAAGGAGGCTTAATGGATGTATTGTTAAGTACTTGGCTGCTAACCAAAAAGTCAGTGGTTTTAACTCAGTGGCTCCATAGGAGAAAAGACATTCTGACACTCTTCTGTGTAAAGATCATAGCCTGTTAAACCCTGTGGAGCAATCCTATTCTATTCTATAAGGTCAATTGAGAATATTCTCAATGGCACAAAACAACAATATGAAGATCTAAAAGTATATAAGTGTATAAAGTGAGATTTGATTCCAGGATGGGCTTTGCTTGCTTAATTCCCACAATCTTATGGTGTTATTTACATTTCTTTACAGGAAATTTTCTGATCTAATTTTAGAAATTTGAAATCATGGACCAAGGAAATAACTCAAGAGTGACTGAATTTGTGTTGCACAGTCTTTCAGGACCTCGGACATTACAACTATTCTATTTTTCATTTTTTACACTTTTGTATTTGTCCACTGTGCTGGGAAACCTCCTCATTGTGCTCACTGTCCTCTCTGAACCTGCACTCCACACCCCCATGTACTTCCTTCTTAGCAACCTCTCTTTCATTGACACCTGTCTATCCACTTTTGCCACTCCCAAAATGATCATTGACTTACTAATGGACCATAATACTATCTCCTTTGAGGGGTGCATGGCCCAGATATTATTTCTGCATGTCTTTGGTGGTGGCGAAATGATGCTACTTGTTTCCATGGCATATGACAGATATGTAGCCATATGTCGACCTCTGCACTATGCAGCCATCATGAGTATACGCAAGTGCATAGGCTTGGTGGTTGGATCCTGGCTCATTGGGTTCCTGCACTCAGTAAGCCAGTTGGTCTTCATAGTAAATCTTCCATTCTGTGGTCCGAATAATGTGGACAGCTTTTTCTGTGACCTTCCCTTGGTTATTAAACTCGCCTGCACTGATACTTACATCCTTGAGATACTGATTCGTTTAAACAGTGATATACTGGGTTTGTGCTCCTTTGTGATATTGTTCATGTCCTACACAGTCATCCTGGTCACCATGCAACGTCGGTCATCAGCGGGCATGACCAAAGCCCGGGTGACCTTGACTGCCCACGTCACTGTGGTCATCCTCTTCTTTGGTCCCAGCATTTTCATCTATGCCTGGCCTTTGAACAACTTCCTAGTGCATAAGATTCTCTCAATATTTTATACTGTTTTCACCCCTCTCTTAAACCCACTGATCTACACATTAAGAAATAAGGAGGTGATATCAACAATGGAGAAACTGAGAAGACGAAACATAAGTTCTTAATAATTTCTTGGCTTTCTTTTTTAATAATGGCACCCACTTAGATCCTTTGCTACTCAAGATATTTATATTTGAAAAAGAAATTAAATAGACTGAGATAATTTCTTGTATATATAAGTATGGTATTTCTTACAGTGTGAATTCACTACAAACTGTCCGAACTTAAGGATAATGGTAATAGCTTTGATGAACCCATTACCTAACTCAGAAGTCAAATAGATTCGTGTACTTAGTCATGTATATGTAGCATATTTAACTACACTACAAACAACTAAACCTAAGCCCCAAATATTTTTTTGTCTCAATGTATTAAATTGAAGTTCAAAATTTTCACTCAGAGTTAGTGGTTCAATGACTACAATGCTTTATTTCTATCTAAATAAATAGTATTTTTCAACATCACTGCTGAATATATGCCTTTGCTCTGTGTATTCTTTTACTGATCTCCAGGTCCTGCTACCTGTGATAGTTATGGTTGTGTGTCAACCTTCTTGGACAATGATTCTCAGTGTTTTAGCAGTTATAATGTAATCCTCCCACATGATACAATCTGATAATATAAACACCTCCATGATGAGATCTGTTATGCTCAACTAATCAATGGAAAGGGAATTTCTTCAGGGTATGGCTTGCTTCCAAATTGTATGGATGTTCTGGAAAAGTTCTCTGGTTTTTGGCTTAATCTGGATCCTGTGAGTGGCTCATCATCTTTTAACCTCCAGTTATTTGGACTTGAGCCAATGACCTACCATACTGACTGCTGATCTTGGGATGTTGGCCTATGCAGCCAACATATTACCTGCCGATCTTGAATTCATCAGCCTCTCTAGCCCGTGAGACAGCAGCTTGCTGTCTGACCTGCTGCTCTTAGGTTCATCAGCCCCTGCAGCTATGTGAGACAGGCGAAGCCTCCAGCCTAACATCTGACCCAGGACTTCACAACTTGCAAGATTTTACAACCTCAATTCTTTGAGATAAACCTGTTTATGTTTATCTATCTCTATAAATAGATATTTCACTGGTTTTGGTTCTCTGGAGAACCCAGACTAAGATACCATCCAATAAAACATAAGTGAGAATACATATTTTTCAAAGTTCTCAAAATTATAAGATCATTATTTTTATTTTTTATAAGTTGACATTTTCATTGTTCTTTGTGAATTATGTTTGAAATAATATAGGGTGAATTTTCTTTGTTTTTGTAGCATTTGTTCTTATAACCAAAAACAAACCACATTAGAAAACAAGAAAATGGGATTCCCCATCTTTGCTCATAAAATAATTCTTATTTTATTTGGACTAAAGCTGATCTTGAAAATATTTTTTTCTCTTTTTCTATAAAATTAATATTTCTATCAAATTCATGCTTCTATGACTCAACTTGATAATATGAAAATGTATAAAATATTAAAGTAAAGTAACATACTTAAGTAATATTTTTAAAAACTTCAGAATAATATGTAATTTACTGTTTTTTTTTTTTTTTTACCAGTCCTCATTTTCACTGATATCAATACTAATTTAGGATAATTATTTTGACTTTTTGATTTCTAACAGCTCTGGTGGCGTAGTGCCTAAGGCATCTGACTGCTTACCAGAAGGTTGGCGGTTTACAGCCACCAGCCACTCCTCGGAAGGAAGGTTAGGCAATCTACTTCCATAGTGATGTTGTTGTTGTTGTTGTTATGTGCCATCGAGTCAGCCCCGACTCATAGCGACCCCTCCTTGGGTTTCTGAGGCAGTATCACTACGGAAGTAGGATTGCCCAACCTTCCTTCCGAGTCCATAGTGATACTGCCTTGGAAACCTAAGGAGGGGTCACTATGAGTTGGATCCTACTCCATGGCAGTGCTTTCATTCGTTCATTTTGATTTCTAGTGTTTGAAAGAGAAAAGCATATCCCAAAATGAAGTTTTGCTTTTGAAATCATGTGGGGGAATGGTACTGTGGAATAAGATTTACTATTAATTATGCTGTAAATAAAGTTTTGTTGTTGTTGTTGTTGTTATGTGCTGTTGAGTTGGACCCGACTCTAAACAAATAAAGTTTAAGTCACCTTTATCAGTTCACCATTACAAAAGGCCTTGTTGACTCCTTCTGATATATAGAATTAAAAACAAACAAAAAAACTAGTATTAAACTGTTGCCATACAATGGTTATTATAATGTTGATAATAAAGTCAAACTTATATTTAATGATCACTATACAGTTCACTAAGAAGCTCTGGTGGCACAGTGCCTAAGGCATTTAAATGTGACTTAAGGGTGTTTTTTTCCCACCTTTTAATTTGGTTTATTGGAACTGCGGTGGTGCAGTGGGTAACATATTTGACTGCTAACCAGAAGGTCAGCAGTTCAAGCCTACCCGTTGCTCCAAGGGACAATCTACTTCTGTGAAGATTTACAGCCTTGGAAACGCTATAGGGGTCACAATGAGTCAGAATAAACTTGGTGGTAGTGGGTTTCATTTTGTTTTTTTATACAGCTTACAAATTGTATCTTCATATATTATTTCAATTGATCCTCAGAATATACCTATGGGTTAGAAGAAGATTATGCTTCTATGCTTACATTGTTGCACTTTAGATATTAGGGATCCTTCAGTAAAAATACCTATGAATTCTACAAGAACTCTTTAAAACAAACAATTGATCTCAGGGTATCTGAAAGAGTAGAAGTTTCAGAAGAAGAAGAATGATTGGAAGGGGTTTTCGGTAATCAAATATAGAACACCATTAAAGGAAATTTTGTCCCTGCCGCATGTGAAATAGAATTCACTCTTGGACCTGAGATACTTAGAACCTGTTCCTTCAGTGAAGGTGTAGTTTGGACGTGTGTTATTAGCAGCACAAGGAAAAGACTAAAAATATATGATAATTGGCCTGACCTATGGATTGATAAATTGTTTACTCTTGGAAATAATAATCATGGGATTGTTTATATATAAATTCAGAGTTTGAATTTATTTTCTCTGCATAGTCTGAAGAGCTTTAATTTGAAAAACTCAACATAAAATATATTTCATTCCAGAGAAGAGGTAGAGGGAGGGAGGGAGAGAAACGGAAGAGAGGGGGAAAAAGGAAAGAAAGGAAAAGAAGGAAGAGAGGAAGGAAAAGATGAAGGAAGGATGGATGGAAGGAAGACTTGCTTTCTCCATCCATAAGACAAGGAAAGAGACAGCCTAGCAATACATAAACTTTTAGAGAGTAACCGTTGTACTCCAGACAAACATCACTGAAAAACATCTTTGAATCAACCCCACTATTCTCTACTCCTGCTATCACAGAAATACCACAAATGATTGGTTTTAACAAACAGGAATTCATTCTTTTACAGTTAGGAAGCTAGAAGTCCAAATTCATAATGCAGGCTCTAGGGATGGCTGAAGGCCCCTTGAGCTTGGGCTTCAGCTCTGCCTCCTGCCTCCTGTCCCACTGGAGGTAGAAGTGGCTACTAACTCAGGCAACTGCTGGCTGCTGAGGCTAACTAACCCAAGGTTTACAGTTAAAATGACGCAAACCCAAGATTGGCAGGTTATATGGCAGGCCACTAGTTCAAGTCCAGGAACTAGGGAAGAGTTGGCCAAACCGTGGATCCAAATGTGCCAAAAGGCTAGAGACCTTTTACAAAGCTTCTCCATATATACTGGAAGTACTCCACCTTCTGAAGGCAACTCCCCCTTATCTGCTTAGCTGCTTATAGCAGATTCCACTAAGGAGGTGATTACGATCTCTTCATGGGAAATAATTACATCTGGATGCCAAGTAACTCAGAAGCCTAGTCCAGCCAAGTTGATACATAATCTTAACTAACCACATCCACTCAACCCAGCAAACACCAAATAAGGATGTTGGACTTCTATTCCTCCTTCATACATGGCCCAAATCCTCCAACCAACACATGTTGGAGTCAAAGAAGACCAAAAAGGGAGCAAAGACTTCATTCCCATGGAGTCAGTGGAGGTTATATAAGCAGCAACAACAAAGCATTCCTACTACTATTATATTAAAAAAAAAAAAAAAATCTTACTGTCCAGTTGGATCCGACTCATAGCGACCCCTCCTTGGGTTTCTGAGGTGGTATCACTACAGAAGTAGATTGCCCAACCTTCCTTCCAAGGACAGCAGTAAGTTTTTTTTTTTTAATAGTTTGTTTCTGTGAAGTCAGTTCCAACTTTTTGCCATCCATGTTTGTCAGAGTAGAACTTGCTTCACAGGGTTTTCAGGGGCTGAGTTTTTTAATGTAGATCAACGTGATATTCTTCCAAGGAACCTCTGTGTGGACTCAATCTCCAAACTTTCAATTAGCAACTGAACAAGTTAAACTTCGAACCACTCAGTGTTTAATAGAAGAAATTATAGAGGTTTCATAAAGCCACCATGTAAAATTATTCAAGGCAGCTACAGGTATGTACACCAAGTTTTTATTTATTTTTATTAATAACTCAGAATTATGTAAATACTATTATTCCAAAAACACTGGCAAAAGATATATTGATTGGCATGTATACATTTAATACAGCTACCTATTAACATCCAAGTCTTTTCAGGTTAGCTTTATTTCAAGGATACTGACATAAGATACTTTGTATTATCATTCTCACTTCATTTAGTCCTCATGACATCAGGACTAAAGATGTGATTGAAAGAGTGGATGTATAGGCAATTTCACACGATGAATTGCTGAGCCAAAGGACTAAAGTATTCATTTGCAATGAATAAATCATTTTATAGTGATTTCAAGAGCATGGCTCTCTACATTATTGCATTGCCTGTAACACTGACCATTTGAAGGGATTTAAGGGGTTGTTAAATTTAACTATTCCATTTTATTAATGAAGGAATTTCTTGGATGAAGATCTGTACACTTGCTTGTTGCTCTTGTTGTCAGGTGCCATTGAGTTGGCTCCAACTCATAGCAACCCTATGTACAACAGAACTAAACACTGCCTGGTACTGCACCAACCTCACAACCCTTGCTATACCTGAGCCCATTGTTGCAGC